TTTTTTAAACCCCAAATTAGTTTAATATATCATTGCTTTGCGTGTTAATCACAATATGCCTGAGTTGGGCCTTGGAGACAGGCCATAGAAGGACAACACTTACCTTCTTCTCTGCTCATCTTAATTTAGAGCATTTTTTTACGGCCTCGCGAATCTCTCTGATGGATCCCGAAGTGGAATTGTTTAAGCATCTGAGAGAAACTTGAGAAACTTCCGTAGGGTTTGTCATGTCCCTTATAAGACGCCACTTCCCCTTTAAGAGACAGCCGCAGGGGTGAGGGGTGAGGGGTCAGGGCCTTCGTGGTGGACAGGGAGAGGTGGGGGGAGGGGGCCCGTAATGGGGATCCTGGGGATTTTTCATGCTGGTGGTCCCAGGGATCAAACTCGGGGTCTCGGGTATGCCAAGCATGCATTCGACTCTCTGAGCTGGTTGCCTCACAATGCTTTGACTCTTTTTTCTCTTTTTGGCTCTTTTTGGGTCCCTCCCGGCTCTGTGCTCAGGACTGACTCCTGGATCAGTGCTCAGGGATGACTCCCAGCTCAGTGCTCAGGGCTGCATGCAAAGCAAACGCCCTTCCTGCTGAACTGTCTAGTCCCGTGACTCTTTATTATTATTATTATTATTATTATTATTTTGGCCTTTTGGGTCACACCTGGCGATGCACAGGGGTTCCTCCTGGCTCTGCACTCAGGAATCACTCCTGGCGGTGCTCAGGGGACCCTATGGGATGCTGGGAATCGAACCCGGGTCGGCCGCGTGCAAGGCAAACGCCCTCCCCGCTGTGCGATCTCTCCAGCCCCATATTTCTTTTTGGTTTTTGTTTTGGGGCCACACGGGCGATGCTCAGGGCCTCACACTGTCATTGCCCGGGAGCGCTATGGGATGCCGGGGATCAAACCCAGCAGGGCATGTGACAGGCAGACGCCGTATGTGCTAGCACTGTCGTCCCCTTGTTCAGCGATTTGTTCGGACGGGCACCAGTCACGTCTCCATGGCGAGACTTGTTGTGACTGTGTTTGGCATCTCGAAGACGCCACGGGGAGCTTGCCAGGCTCTCCGAGAGGGGCGAAGGAATCGAACTCGGGTCGGCCGCGTGCAAGGCAAACGCCCTCCCTGCTGGGCCTCCTATCGCTCTGAACCCCCATATCTGGGTTTGAACTCGGCCCGTTTAACAATAGCCATGGGAGAACTTTCTGGAACAGCTGTTAGCCTGGTCTGTCTCCCAACTCGTTCTTTTTTTTTTTTTCTTGGCTTTTTGGGTCACACCCAGCAATGCACAGGGGTTACTCCTGGCTCTGCACTCAGGAATTACACCTGGCGGTGCTCGGGGGGGCCATATGGGATGCTGGGGATCGAACCCGGGTCGGCCACGTGCAAGGCCACCGCCCTCCCTGCTGTGCTATTGCTCCAGCCTCTATGGATGGGTCAGATATTGATCAAGGTGCTGAACTGGGTGATGGACCAGATATTATTATTAGTAGTAGTAGTAGTAGTAGTAGTAGCAGTAAAATTTTGCTTCTTGGGTCCCACCCTGCCATGCTCAGGGCTGACTCCCGGCTCTGCACTCAGGACTCACTCCTGGCGGTGCTCAGGGGACCCTAGGGGATGCTGGGAATCGAACCCGGGTCAGCCGCGTGCAAGGCCAACGCCCTCCCCGCTGTCCTGTCGCTCCAGGCCCCCACCTCGTTCTTCAATGAAACAGCACGAAAGGAAGCGGACCTGCCGTGGAAACGGAGGCCGGCCTCTCGGAAGGCGGCCTGGCCCTTTAAGGCCAGGCTGGACAATCTGTTACTGATAAGTTATCATGTAACCACCAGCGTCAGTTCAATGAGCTATAAAAAAACACCTGAGACACACTCGGGGGATGGGGGACGGGGCCCAGGGGTCAAAGTGGGCCCTGGGCACGAGGGAGGGAGGAGACGCGGCCGCCCCGCCTCTGTCCTGCCCACCCCAGATCCTGCAGAGGCCCAGGACGCACACCCGGGCGAGAGCTGCCTCTTGGGGCCAGACACACTCGGTGCAGACCACAGTGTCCCTCACGCCAGGGACCGGGGGTGGACGGGGCGGCGGCCCAGGTTCCCGTCTGTCTCGCTCTCTCTCACACACACACGCACACACACACAGACACAGACACAGACACAGACACAGACACAGACACACATACAGACACACACACAGAGACAGAGACACACATACAGACACACACACACAGAGACACACATACAGACACACACACAGAGACACAGACACAGACACACAGACACACACACAGACACGCACAAGGATACACAGACACACAAACACATGCACACAGACACAGATACACAGACACACACAGAGACACACACAGACACAGACATGCACAGAGACACACAGACACAGACGTACACAGAGAGACACACAGACACAGACACACACAGAGAGATACACAGACAAACACACAGACGCACACAGATTCATGCACAAGGATACACAAACACACAGATACATACACACAGACACAAAAACACATGCACACAGACACACAGATACAGACACACACACAGACACACACGCACAAAGATACACACATACATGCACACACACAGACTCACACAGACACGCATACAGACACAGACATAGACATGTACACACACAGATACACACACAGACACACACACGCGCAGACAGACACACAAACAGATACACACACAGACACACAGGCACGCAGACACACACACGCACAGACACACACACGCACATACACACAGAGGCAGATATACACAGGCACACAGGCACACAGACACACACAGATACACACACAGACACATACACAGACACACAAAGACACACACACACAGCCCAGCCCAAGCAAGCAGCCGCAGGCCTCCCCGCCGGGCAACAACAGGTACAAACTCGAGTCAGCCTCAGCACAGGCCTGCTCGGCAACCCCCCTACCCCCCCCTCCACACACACACACAACCCGTGCCAGGAGACAGCCTTCCCGGGAAACACGCTCACAGCACAGCGGCCGCCAGAGATAAGCCCCGATAAGGGCCAGGCGCCCCGGCCCCAGGAAGCCTCTCGGGGCTGCCCGGACAGGCCCGACACTTGGCGGTGGGGGACGGCTGTCACCCCAACTCCCTGGGGAACATGGGGCTGGGGCCCCCCGGGGAGCACCCCCAAAGCTGGTGCGGGGATGATGGACCGGGAGAAGAAACTTCCGGCCCCAGGACGGACAGGGAGCAGGGCCTAGCGCTTGTCCACGCGGAGTGTGGGGGTCCCCAGGAGCGAGTCACGGGCTGATGTGAGGCTCGGCTTGGCCCGGGGCGCTGGGGGGGGGGGGGCGGCCAAGCCAGCCGGAAGGCCGCTGCAGCCTGTTCAGTGTTTGTCGTTTTGATGATTCACTGGGAGCCGGGCAGAGGCCAGCAGGAAGCAGAACTCAACAGATGCAGACCTCGGGTTGCTGGAGAGAGGAGCCAGGGGGCACCTGCACTTAGCAGCAGGGGGCTTGGGGCTGGGGTGATAGCCCGGCGGGGAGGGGCGTTGGCCTTGCACGCGGCCGACCCGGGTTCGATCCCCGGCATCATCCCCGAGGGTCCCCCGAGCCCCGCCAGGAGGGATCCCTGAGTGCAGAACCGGGAGTGAGCCCTGAGCATCGCCGGGTGGCACCCAAGAAGCAAAATAATAATAATAATAATAATAATAATATTGGGTCCATCACCCAGTTCAGCACCTTGATCAATATCTGATCCATCCATAGGGGCTGGAGCAAGAGCACAGCGGGGAGGGTGTTGGCCTTGCACGCAGCCAACCCGGGTTCGATTCCCAGCATCCCCCGAACACCGCCAGGAGTGATTCCTGAGTGCAGAGCCAGGAGGAACCCCTGAGCATCGCCGGGTGGGACCCAAAAAGCAAAAAAATAAATAAAAATAAAAAAATAAAATAAATTGTGCAGTGATAGTCCAGCGGGTAGGGCATTGGCCTTGCACACGGCCGACCCGGGTTCGATCCCCGGCATCCCCTAGGGTCCCCAGAGCACCAGCCAGGAGTGATTCCTGAGTGCATGAGCCGGGAGTCAGCCCTGAGCATTGCCGGGTGGTTCCCCAAAAAGCCAAAATAAAATAAAAAATTTTTTTAAAGAAATTGTCCAAAGCGACCTGGAGGAAGTTCAAATGACACAGCACCGAGGCTGAACGGGCAGCGATGCCATGAGTGCTCGGGAGATTTATAGGGGCCTTGGGCGGTTCTCGGAGCTTGTTTACAGGAGTTATCTCATGCCACACAAACTGTAAGGAGCTAGGCGGAGCCGAGCCGGGAAGGAGCGACAGCCTTGGCCCAAACAGCCCGGAACACCGGGGCGGGGGAGGGGAGGCTCTTATTACCAGAGGGGAAAAAATAATATCCCATCCCCCGCCCTGAAATCCCCACGAAGGAAAAGACGTTGTTCGTTGGATCATCAGACGTCACCCAGTGACAAAGTGTTCGCGGACTCAGTGCTCAGTGCCGGCCCCCAACTGGTTTACCAAGAAACGGGGGGAGGGGAGGAGAAAGGAAAGAGAGAAGGAAGCTTTGTCAGAGGCCTCAGAAAACTCGGCAGAGGACCAGGGCGATTATAGGACAGAGGGGAGGGCGTCTGCCTGCCACGCGGCCGACCCGGGTTCGATCCCGGCATCCCCGAGGGTCCCCCGAGCACCGCCAGAAGCGATTCTTGAGTGCAGAGCCAGGAGTCAGCCCTGAGCATCGCCCCAAAAAGCAAAAACAAACCAAGACAAAACAAAAACGCCCTTTTGTCAACCGGATGCTTAAGTTTTGAGGCCCCCAACTGCGGGACCCACCCCCGCCACCTGTTCCCGGGTCCTCTGCACCCCTGGAAGGTGAGAGAAGACTTCCCAGGTGCGTTTTGTCCAGGGACCACCCCCTTCCCTCCCCGCCGCCCTCACCACCGACCAACCAGAACGGTTTGGGCCCCTCTTGGGTGGGCAGACCAACAGAACGAAAGAAAAGAAAAGCACACATGTCCACACACAGCCGCAGATATAATTTTTTTGTTTTCACATTTAAATATAAAAATACTACTCTGCTCTGGGGGTTAGAAACTGGGCAGTGGGGAGGGAGGCAAGCTTAGAGATTTTTTTTTCTTCTTCTTTCTTCACAGGTAGAACTAATCGTCCTTGTCGTCTGCCTTGGCACCGGGCCTTCAAGCGGAGAAAAGGGGGTGGGTTGGGTTGGGGGGAGGGGGTTCACATCTCGGCCTATAAGGAAATCAGTGTGACCCCTACCTCCCCACCTGAGGAGGACATTCCTCCCTTTTTGAGCAGTCCTGGGAGAGAGAGAGAGAGAGAGAGAGAGAGAGAGAGAGAGAAGCCCCCCTCACACCCCAGGTTCCAGACAGTGGCACAGCCCTGAGGCCAGTGGTTAAAAGATTCCCCCCGCCCTCCCCCAATTAACGCTTTTTTTTTCCTAGAAAGTTCAGTGAGAGGAAATCTGCGGGTTCGGCGGTGAGTTTAGGAGTTGAGGGCCTCTACCTGCAGCCCCAAGCGAGCTCAAAGAGGGGAAAAACCAAAGACCCGAGAGGAACCCAAACTTTTCAAATTATGGCTATTGGAGGCGGGGAGGACCAGGCTGGGAAGGGAGGAGGGACGGATGGAATTGGGGGTGGACGCGGCGTGTGGCTCGAGTCCGTTTTAGTTCTTGTACTGGAAGGGCTCTTCCCCGGTCTCGTTGAGCAGGCAGGTGCGGACGATGGCCTCGGTCACCGAGAAGGGGTCGCAGTTGGCCGACGGGCGGCGGTCCTCGAAGTAGCCGCGTTTCTCCTGGCCCACAGTCCGGGGGATGCGGATGCTGGCGCCCCGGTTGGCCACGCCCGCCGAGAAGTCGTTGATGTTGGAGGTCTCGTGGAAGCCCGTCAGGCGCCGGGCGTTGTCCAGGCCCCCCTTGGGGTCGTAGGCCCGGATGTGGTACTGGTGACGCTTGCTCAGTCGCTCGATGGCCTCCTCGATGAACCTGGGGGGTGGGAGACAGGGGGCATTCGGGCGTGGCCACGGGGTCTCCGGGGAGCCCAGGCAAAGTAGCAGGTCCCACGGAAAGTTGTGTTCATGTGTTTTTTGGGTTTTTTTTTTTTGCTTTGGGGTCCCACCCGGCGATGCTCGGGGCTGACTCCTGGCTCTGCGCTCAGGAATCACTCCTGGCGGTGCTCAGGGGACCCTAGGGGATGTCGGGGATCGAACCCGGTCGGCCACTTCTTTGAAGATCCCTCCCACTGCTGCTAGCAGGGGGCCCCCCATGGTGACAGGGAACCGGCCCGTGTGGGCCGTGTGCATGGCGAGTAGGTAGAAACTCTGCCACTCTGTGCTTTGGGTGATCTCACACACACACACACACACACACACACACACACACACACACACACAGGACTGGCCCAGGTTGTCCAAGGGAAAGACAAACACACACACACACACACACACACACACACACACACACAGAACTGGCCCGGGTTGTCCAGGGTTCCATCTCTCTCTCTCTCTCTCACACACACACACACACACACACACACACACACACACACACAGAACTGGCCCGGGTTGTCCAGGGTTCCATCTCTCTCTCTCTCTCTTTCTCTCTCTCTCTCTCTCACACACACACACACACGGGATTCGCCCAGGTTGTCCAGGGTCCCGGCACACACACACACACACACACACACAGAACTGGCCCGGGTTGTCCAGGGTCCCATCTCTCTCTCTCTCTCTTTCTCTCACACACACACACACACACACACACACACACACACACACACGGGATTCGCCCAGGTTGTCCAGGGTCCCGGCACACACACACACACACACACACACACAGAACTGGCCCGGGTTGTCCAGGGTCCCATCTCTCTCTCTCTCTCTTTCTCTCTCACACACACACACACACACACACACACACACACACACACACACACACACGGGATTCGCCCAGGTTGTCCAGGGTCCCGGCACACACACACACACACACACAGAACTGGCCCGAGTTGTCCAGGGTCCCATCTCTCTCTCTCTCTCTTTCTCTCTCTCACACACACACACACACACACACACACACACACACGGGATTCGCCCAGGTTGTCCAGGGTCCCGGCACACACACACACACACACACACACACACACAGGACTGGCCCAGGTTGTCCAAGGGAAAGACACACACACACGCACACATAGAACTGGCCCGGGTTGTCCAGGGTCCCAGCTCTCTCTCTCTCTCTCTCACACACACACACACACACACACACACACACACACACACACACACACAGAGGACTGGACCAGGTTGTCCAAAGGAAAGACACACACACACAGACAGACACACACACACACACACAGACCCAGAACTGGCCCAGGTTGTCCAGGGTCCCCGCTCTCTCTCTCTCTCTCTCTCTCTCTCTCTCTCTCTCTCTCTCTCTCTCTCTCTCTCTCTCACACACACGCACCCTGGCCTACTATCCCTCCAGGGCCTAATCCTAATCCAGCTACTAGCCCATCAGCTGGACCCTCACACCCGCAAGAAAGTAATGCGTCATGTTCACTCCTCGCTCCTCTGTGCTCAAGGGACTCCTGGCGGGGCTCATGGGACCCTATAGGGTGCTGGGGATCAGACTTCACACCAGCCAGGCAAGCACCCTCCGCCCCCCGGACTAAGCTCCAGGCCCTAGAATTCATTATTTTTGTCTTGGGTCCCACCCCAGCGGTGCACAGGGCTGACTCCCAGCTCTGTGCTCAGGGGTCACTCCTGGCGGTGCTCGGGGGACCCTATGGGATGCCGGGGATCGAACCCGGGTCGGCCGCGTGCCAGGCCAATGCCCTCCCCGCTGGGCTATCACTACGGTCCCCATTCATCCTTTTCCAAGAGAAAAAATTCAGCAGCCTCCGAAGACGGTCTGGAAGCCACGGGGGGCCTGGAACCGGGACCCTAATTCTCACCAAGAACAAACACATGAGTGTGTGTGTGTGTGTGTGTGTGTGTGTGTGTGTGTGTGTTGGGGGGTTGGGGGTCGCGTCACTCACTTCAGCCCGTTGTCCTCGCGCATGGCCTTGGTGCTGAAGTTGGTGTGGCAGCCGGCCCCGTTCCAGTTCCCGGGGATGGGCTTGGGGTCGAAGGTGGCGATCACCCCGAAATCCTCACACACGCGGTGCAAGATGAAACGGGCCACCCAGAGGTGGTCTCCCATGTCGATCCCTTCGCAGGGTCCGATCTGGAACTCCCACTGCGGGGCAGAGGGGCCGTCAGCCCGTCTCATAACCTTGAACCCCACTATTTTATTTATATTTGCTTTTTGGGTCACTCCCGGCAATGCCCAGGGCTGACTCCTGGCTCTGCACTCAGGAATCACCCCTGGTGGTGCTCAGGGGACCCTATGGGATGCTGGGAATCGAACCCGGGTCGGCCGCGTGCCAGGCAAACGCCTTCCTCGCTGTGCTATCTCTCCAGCCCCTATTTTATTTTATTTTATTTTTCTTTTTTGCCTTTTGGGCCACATCCGGCGATGTTCCAGGGTGACTCCGGGCCCTGTGCTCAGGAATCATTCCTGGCGGTGCCCAGGGGTGGGAGGGGAACCCTTGGGGATGCCGGCGATCGAACCCGGGCCAGGCCAAGTGCCCTCCCTGCTGGCCAATTCCCCCAGCCCCTGCCCCGCTTGGCGCCAGGACCCCTCAGCAAGCTGGAAAATCCCCCACGGGGTCCACCGGAAGTGGCCCGTGAGGGTCGGGGGCAGCGGGGAGTTACCTGGGCGGGCATCACCTCGGCGTTGGTCCCCCCGATCTTGATGCCAGCGTAGAGGCAGGCCCGGTAATGCGCCTCCACGATGTCGCGCCCGTAAGCCTTGTCGGACCCCACGCCGCAGTAGTAGGGACCTGGGGGGGGCAGAGAGTGGCGCTCAGGTGGGGGTCCCGCGTGCTCTGGGACTCCCCCCTCCTGGACCCTAAGGTCCCTCCAGGCGCCCCGGAAGTGGGTCCCCTCCAAAGAGACGCCCCTCCTCCGCCCGGCCTTACCTTGGGGCCCGGGGAAGCCGTTGGAGGGCCAGCCGAAGGGGTGCCCGTCGGTGCCCATGAGTGTGTACTCCTGCTCCATCCCGAACCACGGGTGCTGGTTGCTCACCATGTCCATGATACGCTTGCAGGTGTGTCTCAGGTTGGTCTCTAGCCAAGGGGAGCACTGCGTGAGGAGCAGCCCGGGGCGGGGGCGGGGGGACACGGCGGGAGGTGCAGGGGTTTGGGGTGACTCAGAAATAGGAACGGATCTGTGGCTCGAACTGAAGTCGGGAGGTGGGGGGCTGGGGTGATGGAAGACAGCCGGGAGGGCGTTGGCCTGGCACGCGGCCGACCCGGGTTCGATCCCCGGCATCCCCTAGGGTCCCCTGAGCACCGCCAGGAGTGATCCCAGAGTGCAGAGCCCGGAGCCAGCCCCGAGCATCCCTGGGTGTGACGCCCAAAATAAACCAACTATCTTCAGATATACTTAATAAAAATAAAAATGTGCAGTTAGGTCTTTCATTCATTGTACATTGATGACATTATCTTAAGAGTTACCAACTGAGGGGCCGGAGTGATAGCACAGCAGGGAGGGCGTTGGCCTGGCACGTGGCCGACCCGGGTTCGATCCCCGGCATCCCCTAGGGTCCCCCGAGCACCGCCAGGAGTGATTCCTGAGTGCAGAGCCGGGAGTCAGCCCCGAGCATCGCCGGGTGGGACCCCAAAGCCAAATAAATTAATAAACAAATAACTAACTAAAGCCGGCCTGGAGCCCTTTGCCCTTACCTGCAGGCCCGGAGCAAAGGTTGGGGGTGGGGTGGGGCGGGGGCTTCAGCCCCTTCGAGTCACACTTGCATCCCAGGGGTCCTGGGGCACTTAGCGCCCGATGGACGGTTCCTCCTCCTCCTCCTCCTCCTCCTCCTCCTCCTCCTCCTCCTCCTCCTCCGGAGAATCCCCCTTCCTGGCAGCGCCCAGACTGGAAGGCCGGGCTCTCAACTAAGTGCTCCTGACAGGGAGAGGAGCACGCAGAGGCCAGAGTGAAGCCTCTGCTAACAGTTTTGGGTCCGGAAGGAACTTTCCAAACAGTGCTCACTCCTGCGGAGCTCGGGGGTCATTCTTAGACCCTCAGGGCTGCGGCCCGGGCTCAGGGGAGCGTTGGGGTCAGGGAGGGGACCCAGGCGTCCACTGATCTCTCTTCTCTCTCTCTCTCCCGTTTTCTCTTTTTCTCTGTCTCTCTCTCTCCCCACCCCACCCCAACTGCAAAAGGACCCACTCCAGAGTCTCTGCAAACAGCCCAGACTGGGTGTACTGGAACTTTCCATCTGTGCAGTTGCAGCCACCAGGAGAGCGTCTGGCCGCTCCCGTCTCCCCGGGCTCCAGTGCTCGGCCCCTCATCCCCCCCCTTTCGACCACCGGGAGCTAACCAGAGACTTTCCAAAGCTGCCCTGGGCGCAGGGAGGAAGCACCCGCCGCCTCCACCAGGAAGCCAAACCTTCCACCAGGCGGGCAGCTGGGAGCCAAGAGACCAAACCCGCATGCAGTTCCGGCCGGGGAGGAGGTGGAGGGGGACGGGGAGGGTGTTGGGGTCTGCCGGGCTCAGACCACCGAGGCCAGTGGTGGGGACAGAAGCCCCCTGCCCGCCCCCCCTGGCACAGGCTCGGCTCATGTGACCCCACAGAACCCCCCCATGCCAATGGAGACAGACGGATTTCCTTTCCCCACTGCAAACTCAGGGCGATGCCCGTGGGTCACGGGGTCGGGGGTCACTCAACCCCGCAAATAGGAAATGCGACCGACCTCCCCAAGTGACCCCTCTGAGCCTCCGGGACACGCAGGGAGGAGTGTCGGGGAGGATCTGGGGAAGAAGCCACCGTCGGAGGCCAGGCAGAGAGAGAGAGAGAGAGAGAGAGAGAGAGAGAGAGACTGTGGAAATGGGCTTTGTTTGTTTTGCCCATACGTGGCTGACTCCCGGCTCTGCACTCAGGGATCACTCCTGGCGGTGCTCGGAGGACACTAGGGGATGCCAGGGATTGAACCCGGATCGGCCATGTGGCAGGCCAACACCCTCCCCGCTGTGCTATCGCTCCAGCCCCTATGGATGGATCAGTTATCGATCAAGGTGCTGAACCGGGTGATAGACCAGATATTATTATTATTATTATTATTATTATTTTGCTTCTTGGGTCCCACCTGGCGATGCTCAGGGCTGACTCCCGGCTCTGCACTCAGGAATCCCTCCTGGCGGTGCTCGGGGGACCCTAAGGGATGCCGGGGATCGAACCCGGGCCGGCCGCGTGCCAGGCCAATGCCCTCCCCGCTGTGCTATCTGTCCAGTCCCATGACTCTTATTATTATTACTATTGCTAATATTATTATTTTGGCCTTTTGGGTCCCACCCGGCGATGCTCAGGGCTGACTCCGGGCTCTGCACTCAGGAATCACTCCTGGCGGTGCTTGGGGGACCCTCGGGGATGGCGGGGATCGAACCCGGGTCAGCCACGCACCAGGCAACGCCCTCCCCGCTGTGCTATTGCTCCAGCCTCTATGAATGGATCAGATATTGATCAAGGTACTGAACTGGATGACGGACCAGATATTATTATTATTATTATTGTTTTGCTTTTTGGGTCCCACTCGGCGATGCTCAGGGCTGACTCCCAGCTCATGCACTCAGGAATCATTCCTGGCGGTGCTCGGGGGACCCTGTGGGATGCTGGGGATCGAACCCGGGTCGGCCGCATGCCAGGCCAACGCCCTCCCCGCTGTGCTGCCTCTCAGGTGAGCCCCCAGAACTGGGTCTGAGACGGCCCCTCCCCCGGCCCCTTGTGGAAGATCCCAGCTCCCTCTCCCCCTTGCCCCCCGCCCAGACCTACCTGCCGGCTTCCGGTTGTACTTGAAGACCTCGCAGAACACCAGCTTGTTGGGGTCCTTCCGGAAAGGGTCCCGGAACATGGCGGCCGGGACCAGGTACATGTCGCTGTTGGACCCTTCCGACTGGAAGGTGCTCGACCCGTCGAAGTTCCACTCGGGCAACTCTGGGCGGGGGAAGGGGAGCACGCAGGGGTGAGGAGGACAGAGTGCGGGGGTGGGGGGCCTCCCAGGAGCCAGGGCAGCCCCACGCGACCCCCCAGCAGCCGACACCCTCCTCCACGCCCCCCACCAAGTCCGGGAGGCCAGGTGCTGGGAGCACTTCCTGCCCGAGCACCATGCTGGGAGCACTTTCTGTTCAAGCATCCACTGGGAGCACTTCCTGTCTGAGCAACCAGTATGGGAGCACTTCCTCTCTTAGCACCCATGCTGGGAGCACTTGTCTTAGCACCCTACTTACTGGGAGCACTTCCTGAGCACCCTGCTGGGGGCACTTGTCGGAGCACCAGTTCTGGGAGCACTCCTGTCCAAGCACCCATGCTGGGAGCACCCACCCCTGTCCTAGCAACCAATATGGGAGCACTTCCTGAGCACCATGCTGGGAGCACTTCCTGTTCAAGCATCCATGCTGGGAGCATTTCCTATCTGAGAACCTCATTCTGGGAGCACTTCCTGTCCAAGCACCCATGCTGGGAGCACCTCTTGTCTCAGCACCCATGTTGGGAGCACTTCCTATCTGAGCACCTCATGCTGGGAGCACTCCTGTCCACGCACCCATGCTGGGAGCACTCCTGTCCAAGCACATCATGCTGGGAGCACTTTCTGTCGTAGGACTCATGCTGGGAGCACTCCCTGTCCAAGCACCTCATGCTGGGAGCACTCCCGTTTGAGCACCTATGCTGGGAGCACTTCCTATCTGAGCACCTCATGCTGGGAGCATTCCTGTCCACGCACCCATGCTGGGAGCACTTCCTGCCCAAACATCTCAGGCTGGGAGCACTTTACGTCTGAACACCTCATGCTGGAAGCACTTCTTGTCTCAGCACCCATGCTGGGAGCACTCCTAATCACGCACCCATGCTGGGAGCCGCAGCCGACACCCCCTCCACGCCTCCCACCAAGGCAGGAGGACAGGTGCTGGGAGCACTCCCTGTCTGCACACCTGATGCTGGGAGCACCCCTCTCCACGCACCCATGCTGGGAGCACTTCCTGTCCAAGCACCTCATGCTGGGAGCACTCCTGTGCTGACAGCACTTCTTGTCTTAGCACCCATGCTGGGAGCACTGCCTGTCCGAGCACCTCATGCTGGGAGCACTTCCTGTCTAAAGTTCGATCCTGGGCGTGGGGTCCAATCGTGGCCTCAGGAACACCTCTGGGCAAAGGCCCAATGGGCTCCAGCCAGGCTGGGCAGGGCACACACCCACCCACCCCACCCCTCCCAAAAGAAAAAGGGGTTGGAGAGAGTCCCAGGGCTAAGGTCACATGACTTGCGGGCCACCAACCCCGTTTTAATCCCGGCTGGCACCTGGTTCCCCCCTGAACACCACCAGGTGCGGCCCCGGCGGGGGTGGCCAGGGCCATTCTGAGCGTTGCTAGCTGGCTTGGCCCAGGACTGGAACCGTGTCTGGAAGCCCCCCTTCCCCTGCCCCCACCCCCCACCCAGGGCCCAGGGCCAAGAGTGTTTTGCACCCACCCAGATGTGGTACGAACTGAGTCCCTGAGTTTGTCAAGCAGCTCGGAGCAGTGGGTTTGCGAACTGGGTTCCCCGGGGCACCCTGCCGGGGTCAAGCTCCCCCTCAAAGCCCCCAGCCCGCGCCTGAATCTGCCCTCCTGAGGCGGCCTGGCTTGCAGAGGACACTTGTTTAAGTGTCCCACAGACCTCAGGCGTAGCCATCGGACCTGGGGCGGCGGTGTCACTCCCAGGCCACTCCCCCCCCCCCCGCACCCACTCACCTTCCACGCTCTTGGGCTCACAGTCGAGGGTCCGGGTCTTGCAACGCAGCCCCTCCCCGGTGCCGTCGATCCAGATGTACATGGCCTGCACCTTGTCCCCTTGGGGCAAGCTCATGTACATCTGTTTGATGCCTTTATTGAGGTGGGAGCTGGTGGACGTGGCCATGCTGGACGATGTCCTGCGGGGCGGGGGAAGAGAGACACCATGAAGCCCCTCGTGAAGCCCCTCGGACCCAGGAGCAGGGCCCGGGCGCTCCTGACACCACCTGGAAGGGAATTCAAAAATTTTTTTTTTTTTTTTTTGCTTTTTGGGCCACACCCGGCGATGCTCAGGGATCACTCCTGGCGGTGCTCAGGGGACCCTATGGGATGCTGGGGATCGAACCCAGGTCAGCTGCAAGCCAGGCAAATGCCTTGCCCACTGTGCTATCGCTCCAGCCCCTATGGATGGATCAGATATTGATCAAGGTGCTGAACTGGGTGATGGGCCAGATATTATTATTTTATTATTATTTTGCTTTTTGGGTCCCACCAGGAGATGCTCAGGGCTGACTCCTGGCTCTGCACTCAGGAATCATGCCTGGAGGGGCTCGGGGGACCCTAGGGGATACCGGGAATTGAACCCGAGGCTCCAGCCCCCAGAATTTTAAGATTTTTTTGTTTGTTTGTTTGCTTACTTATTTACTTTGGTTTCTGGGCATGCCTCTGTGAGCAGGAATCCTTCCTGACTGCTGTCAGGGACTCATGGGGGGGACGGTATGGGGTGGCGGTAACTGAACCTGGGTCGGCCCCATGCAAGGCAAAGGCCCTCCCTGCTGGACTATCACTCTGGCCTCGCAAGATTTTTTTTTTTTAATTTTTGCTTCTTGGGTCCCACCCGGCGATACTCAGGAATCACTCCTGGCAGTGCTCGGGGGGACCCTATGGGACGCCGAGGATCGAACCCAGGTCGGCCGCGTGCCAGGCCAACGCCCTCCCCGCTGTGCTATCGCTCCAGCCCCCCCACCCAAGTTTCTTCCCCTCAAATTAGGATTAGGATTATTACCATGCTTTGGGCGGAGGGCTGGTGGGACGGGTGGGGTCATTTATTATGCTAAGAAACCCAGGAAATCCCAAAGTTGCCCAAGTTTCTGGAACAAGATCTCAGACACCGAGGCAGCAGAGGGAGGCCTGGAGGGCTGGGATTTCTCCCGGCTGTGAGCCACCAGTTTGGATAATTCCTCAGGCCCCCCCAAAACAAACACTAAAAACCATTTCTATGGTACGAGGAAATCGGAGGGCTGGAAGATTTAAATGCTGGAGGCTGGATTTAAATGGTACAGCTTGTATGAGCTTCCCGGGAGTCAGCCCTGAGCACAGAGTCAGGAGTCTACCCTGAGCACAGAGCCGGGAGTCAGATCTGAGCACAGAGCCAGGAGTGAGCCCTGAGCACAGAGTCAGAAGTCAGCCCTGAGCACAGAGCCGGGAGTCAGCCCCCAGAATAGAGCCAGGAGTGAGCCCTGAGCACAGAGCCGGGAGTCAGCCCTAAGGACCGACCCCCACTCTGCATGTTACTCCCCAATTTCCCTAATTTCCGGGTGTCTGAGCCCCCAGAGGACCAGCCCGCAAGCCCTGTGGACAAACCCCCTGCTTTGGGCCCTCAGCTGCCCAGACCCCAGGAACTGGCACAGGCCAGGGTCTCGGCAGCCACCAACCCCCCAAGCCGGGCAGCGGTTCCCCACAAGAGGAAACACCCCTCCCCGCCCTCCCCCGCTCCCCGGGGTGTCTGGCAGGAGGACACGTTGTTCTCGTCCAATAACTTGGGCAACTTTCTGAAGCTGGCCGGCCCTGCGGGCAGGCGGCCACGACTGCCCAGCCCGAAAACAGAAGCAGCCCGCCCGTGATCCCGGGGGGTCCCACTCACGCCCCCTCTCCAGAAAAGCCGGACCCAGAGAGCCTCCCTTCCAGAGAAAAGAAATAAAAGAAAGTGAAAGGAAAAACATTTACTGAAAAAAAAAAAAATCACATTACACAGAGAGCGCCCAGGCCCCCTTAAAGACACCAGCACTCCAGCAAGCTGGCCTTGGGTTCGGGCTATTCTGCAAAGGAGGTCAGAGGCCAGCTCTGTGTGGGGACATCAAAGGGGTCTCCAAGGGCTCATGGTGTGTGTGTGTGTGTGTGTGTGTGTGTGTGTGCGCGCGCACGCGCGTGCAAATGAGGTCAGAGGCTAGCTCTGTGTGGGGACATCAAAGAGGGGGGTCTCCCGGGGCTGGAGAGATAGCACAGCGGGTAGGGTGTTTGCCTTGCACGCGGCCGACCTGGGTTCGATCCCCGGCCTCCCTTAGGGTCCCCCCTAGCACTGCCAGGAGGAATTCCTGAGTGCATGAGCCAAGAGTCAGCCCTGAGCATCTCCGGGTGGGACCCAAAAAGCAAAAATTAAATAAATAAATAAATAAATAAAAAAGAGGAATCTCCAAGGGTGCATGGTGTGTGTGTGTGTGTGTGTGTGCATGGGTGTGTGGACACGGAGTGTGTGTGCACGGGTGTGCATGCACATCGGGTGTGTGTGTGTGTGTGTGTGTGTTCTGGCATTGCTCCGGGTCCTCCTCCTCCTCCTCCTCCTCCTCTCCCCCCTCCTCCCCTCCTCCGCCCCTCCCCTCCCCCCGCCTCCCCTCCCCACTCACCCCATCCATATCATGCTAGCCTCCCCCTTGTCCCGCCTGGGCTTGGAGTGTTGCCGCCGGTCCCGGGACCGGTCCCGCTCCCGGGACCGGTCCCGCTCCCGCTCCCGGTCCCGGTCCGGGCCGCTCTCGGGCTCGGCCTGCTCGGGCACCCAGAGGTGGTGCGGGTGGCGCTGGTGGCCGCGCTTGCGGGGCGCGGGCGAGGGGCAGGGCGAGGGGCAGGGGGAGCGGCAGGGGGAGGCATCGGCGGGCTCCCGGGGGGCGCCCGCCGGGGGTCGGTGCAGGGCGCAGCAGGGGGGCGCGCCGGCGGCGGCGGGGGCGCTGGGGGGCGGCCCGGGGCCCCGCGCCCGGGGGTCCCGGGGGTCCACGGCGTAGGCCACGTAGCCGTAGCAGCTGTGCGCGGGCTCCGGGGGGTCCCCATCGTCGTCGCGCGCCGGGGGCTTGCGGCAGGGGGCGGGGGCGCCCCACTTCCCGCCCCGCGGCGGGGACCCCGGGTAATCCACCTTGGAGGTCGCGCCCCCGGGGGCCCCTGGCGCGCGTGGCCCGGAGTGGGCGGGCTGGGGGCAGCGGCCCGGCCGGCCGGCGCGGCCCGGGCCCGCGGTGCCCCTTTGTTTGCTCACAGTGCAGCCCCCCTCCCCTGCACCCCCCGCTGCACCGCGCTGCACCCCCGGGCGCCGCCGCCGCGCCCACCCGCCTCCGGGGGGTCGCGGCTGCATGCACCGAGCTCCGGGCAGCTCCGGGCGCCCACCCGGGGGGTGCAGGGCGCGCCCCTGGCCCCGCCTGCTCAGCGGGGCCAGCTGGGGGGGGGTCTCGGCGGGGGTCGGCTCCGCCCTCCCGGGCCCCGAGCTCGGGCTGGGCTCACCTGGACCGCGGGCAGAGCAGCAGCTGGCGGGGCTCGCAGGCCGAGAGCGGGCGGCGGGGCAGCGGCGGGCAGCGGGGACAGGGGACACTCACTCCAGGCCCACCCTCCGCTCGCTCCGCACGGCAGCCGCCGCCCGCCGCCTTATAGCGCGGCCGGCCCGCCCCCGAGAGCCTCCATTGGGTGTCCGGTCCCGGGGCCCGCCCTCTCGCCGCGCCCATTGGATGAGCGCCGGGAAGGAGGCGGGCCAGCCTCCAGCACCACCTTAGAGTGCAGCCGGCCCGCCCCCCCCAGCGCGTCGCCATTGGCTGTGCCTGCGCGAGGCCCGCCCGCGCGCCGCGCGCATTGGACTAGCTCCGAGGAGGAGGCGGGCTGACCGCCCGCCGCCTTGGAGTGCAGCCGGCCCGCCCCCCGCGCGCCGCCATTGGCTTTCGGGGCCCAGGGCCCGCCCGCACGCCGCGCTCATTGGACGAGCGTCGGGGAGGAGGTGGACCGGCCGCCCGCAGCCTTAGAGTGCGGCCGACCCGCCCCTTGAGCATCATCATTGGATGCCCGGGCCCGGGGCCCGCCCGTGCGCCGCACCCATTGGACGAGCGCCGGGGAGGAGGCGGGCTCGTCAGCCCGCCGCCTTAGACCACAGCCGGCCCGCCCCTCACGCGCCGCTATTGGCTGTCCGGGCCCGGGGCCCGCCCTCTCGCCGCGTTCATTGGACGAGCCCTGGGGAGGGGCGGGCGGGCCGCCCGCGGCCCGAGAGAAAGGGAAAGGCCGCGGGGGAGGGGCGCAGGCCCGGTTGCTGGGGTGTGGGGGAGGGGAAGGGAGGTTGGGGCTGGAGAAACGTCCTGGCTGCAGACTCCCCCTCCCCCAGCGGCACACCCGGAGACCCCTGCGGTCCTCACCCCACCCCCACCCATGTCCCTGGGGTTCTCCACCCCACCCCCACCCATGTCCCCTGGAGCCCTCTATCCCCCCCAACTCCCACCCATGCCCCCTGGGGTCCTCTAACCCCCAACCCCTGTCCCCTGTGGGCTCTCTATACCCCCCACCCATGCCCCCTGGGGTCCTCTATTTCCCCCCACCCACATCCCCTGGGGTCCTCCGTCCCCCCGCCCCCATGCCCCCTGCATCCTGCCAGTAGTTTGGGGTCTGCAGTGCCAGTTTATTTGGGGGGGTCTCCCTCCGTGAGCAGTGTTGATCTGCTCTGGCCAGAGAGGTCCCCAAGGGCGCTGGGGACACGTGTGTGTGTGTGTGTGTGTGTGTGTGTGTGTGTGTGTGTGTGTGTTTCCCGTTTGATCCTGCCGTCCCACCTGGGGGCAAGACTTTCATCCTCTGTGGGCTGGCGTTTCCTCATCTGCAAATAAGGGGGTTCAAGGGTTCAGCCCACCAGGGAGGGAGGCTGGGAAGCTTTGCCTGCTGGCAGGTCAGTGGAGCCCCCTGCGTCCCAGTCCAGAATGAAGGTTCTTGGGTGCGTTCAAAGGATTGATGGCATCTTCTTTTGAAGGCAGCACTGCAGCACTGTCCTCCGGTTGTTCATCAATTTGCTCAAGCGGGCACCAGGCACGTCTCCATGGTGAGACTTGTTGTGACTGTGTTTGGCATCTCGAAGACGCCACCGGGAGCTTGCCAGGCTGTGCCCTGCCGGCGGGATACTCTCGGGAGCTGG